ACTCGGAAGAGTGCCTTTTTTTCTCCAAAAATTACCATAATCAAATGTGATATTGATTTTTTAAAAACTAGAAGTTTTATTAAGAGAATTACGTTTTAGACACCATATTGCCTGTTTTTGCACTATTTCGCCAACAAAAATAATTCCAAATAAAGCCACAGCGCTGTTTTGCGTCTCTCAGCAACATGACGGTGTTTCGTTCCTGAATGAATCAACCGTTTAAATGATTCGGTTCAATCACAATGACTCACTTATTAACAGTAACTCGCTGACACCTACTGGCGGTTTTAATTTCACATTTAAAGTATCTTTTCATTTGTTTAATTATTTCAAATATCAGTATTCAATGTTTTATGTTTAATATATCAAAACATTATTTATGCATTTGTAACTGCAGGTTAAATGCATTCATGTTCTGCATTAAACAGTGTGTAAATACATCTAAATGCCGCTTCAGGTGCAGCTTATGTCTGGATTGCAAAGATGAATTTTGTTGATACTGATTTCATTTGCTTGCTAACAGCCCAAATGTCTTATTATTCTAATTCACTGATTAAATGTAAGAATTTGACTCAAAAGATAATGCACACTTATAGAAAAATGGCTTTATAAAGGTAAAATGCCCATAAAAGGTCAAAACTATTTAAACTTATCTGACCACCACACAGAATATGAAGAATATCAAAAACTTTAGGAGTCAGCTGTCCACGAATGTCCTTAAGATACCAGCATGATAAAACACTTAATCAGTTGAATGAATGACTCAGTGACTCACTCAATAAGTGACTTACCTCCACTTTAGTTGAGAAGTATGTTGAAAAGTATGCATTTTTCCCCTCAACATTTCTTATTTGTATACTCATAAATGCATTTAAAACATTAATCTCATAACATTATTTATTGCAGATGTAATTATTGTTATTTGCAGTGTAAATTATTTAATCTGACTGGTAGCAGCCCTATAGTGTATATTGAATTTATTGATCAATTGTAATAATTTGACATGTAAGATGATGCATACATCTAAAAAGGTTAAAAATAGGCCTTTGTAAAGGTAAATATGCAGATTTAAGTATGTAAAAGCTGATAGAACACTGATGAAAATACTGCTTCAGAATAAATTTACTCCACCAAAAATCTCAGTGATGCAGTTATTTTGCAGGGATTTTTTGTATGGAATATTGTCTGCTGACATGAAAAGTTCACTGTATATCGTAGTAATAAATATAGTTTATTACAGCAGTGATATTTTGTTTTCTTTTTAATTTATACACATTAAATATGACATATGTATGTAATAAAATGTGCATTTCCATTACAGGTTTAGGTCTTAAATTTCATATAAGGTGGTATTAAAAAGGTCTTAAAAAGTCTTAAATTGAACTTGTTCATGTCTGCAGAAACCCTGTTAAAGAGGAAAGAATAAAAGTTTCAGGGGTTTTCTTAAGAGTACAGGCAGATTTTTCCTGGATTTACAATTGTTGGGGGAGGGTGCAGGAAGAGAGGTGAGGACTCAATAGTCCATTTTAATGCAGTAGGCATTTTACAACAACAATAAAGAAACCTAACTAAATCTAGCTCAAGGGGGAGAAGCACAGTCCAGGGCAAGAGAGAAATTTGTCAATCTTGACTGGACTTGAGCAACAGAACTGACTGGAACCAACTATCAAACAGAACACCAAATATTAGTAACCAAACAGTATTGAGTATATATAAATTTGTTTTGGTATGGGTGCAATTATCAAATGGGAAATGGCCATTCTTTATAATAAATCATTATAACGATTCTTTTGAAATGTTCTTATATTATTAATGTAGACATGTATTAAATGTATTAAAGGAGTAATGAAATATAATTATTAATGCCGAGAAACCATATAGTTACATTTTTACCATGGTATTGAGGTGCTACAGTATATGTGAGGTTTTACCTGTGGTTATCATGATCTAAATTTGTGCTGCTATGAAAGACCAATGGTTTATTTTAATAAAACCTGGTCAGATTAATTAAATTTAACCATTTAAAAATTAGGTTGTTACAATTTTTTCAGATGTTTTACAGATGTTGTAGTGTTGATTTTGCTAATTATTTTGTACACACTTTCTTTACAGTTGATGAAGAGTAGCAATAAAGCTACAATATTACTCGTTTAGTGCTGATGAGTTGACATTCTTGTAGGACAGAGCATTTCCCATCCTACTCTGGTGCAGCATGTATTTAAAGCATAGAAAAATCTGTTACACTCTTACTTTGCTCTTCATTTGGGCGCAAATGCTTCTTGTCTTTGCGACTAAGTGAAAGAAGTGTGAAACAATAAATTGTCCAACAAGTGAGACACTCTCATGATACATTTTTTTCTCTCTGTCATTTAGAAGTGGGCGGAATCTGTGAAGAGACATTAGCGTGTGATTGGTGGAGTTTGGGAGCCCTTTTATTTGAGCTCATAGTAGGAAAGGTAAGAGTATTTCATCAACAGATGCATAATTCTCAGTGAATCATTTTAAAATGTATTTATATATTGATTTCAGTGTGGCAAATTATAATGAAGGGGTTTTGTGATTTCTGTGTATCTCTGCTTAAATACAAAATACTTAAATTTGTTGTTCATGTACAATTTGGTGTGTGCGTTTAGACTCTATATCAGTGTCATCCTGCTGGCATTGGAAGACACTCATCCCTGAACATCCCAGAGTTTGTGTCGGAGGAAGCACGCTCTCTGCTGGAACAGGTATGTATTACAATTGTGAAAAATGAATATATGTCACCGAGCGAACAGAAGTGAGGGGACACGGTGACCAAAGTTTAAATGTTTAAATGGTAGCATACCTCATTTGTTTGCATTTACTGTAATAGACTGTTCTTTCTAGTTGGATGTTTGAAGGCAGCTCCCTGTAATTCTTAAAGGGGTCAGGAACTAAAAAATCTAAAGCCGCTTTTCCACCGTCGGACCGAAGTCCTTAACTGTTCCATTCTGTGCCAGTTCGGGCCAGTCGACATGATCAAATATTTCTGTTTATTTTACTCAAATAGCACACTTGGCCAGCTACAGAGAGAAACTAGTAGCCAGACAACAGGCAGGTGACCGAAGTGCATTCTCCGGGCCGAGAACGGTTCCTAATTGTGCTGAGCTGAGCTCAAGTGGAATCATAACTGTAACTGTTCCTTATCCTTCATAGAACCTTTTGGCCCGATGGTGGAAACAGCTTAAAGGTGTCATATGATGCTGCAAAAAATAACATTATTTAGTGTATTTGGTGTAATGAAATGTGTTTATGTCGGCTTAGCGTGAGCTGAGGCCAGGCTAGAGTGAGCTGAGGCCGGACTAGAGTGAGCAGAGGTGGCGGGGTTGAGAACAGCGCAGCCGGCAGATCCGACGAAGGAGCGGCAAGCACATGTGACGACCCCTGGCTTCGTCCATGGTGAAAGCCGATCCGGCGATCCACAGCACTAAGTTGATGTATTCCCTCAGCGACCAGCACGGATCAGGTCTAGGCATGACGAAGCGGATATCGTCCTCTTTTGGAGGACCGAACAAAGTAGTTTCGCTTTCACAACGAAACACACAGCGTCTTCAGGACATGGCGGAAAGCGGCAACAATACTACAGCGAGAATAAAAGTTACACCTTCTTTCTTTGCGTGAACATTTGGGCGGACCCCTTTAATGTTCTCTGATCTTCTGACATATAAGAGCTCATTGCACTATTAAAACATACTGTATGTTTCAGAAATCAAAACTTCCTTGTTACTTCAAAAACAGCTTTTATTGAAACCAAGCTGCCAAAAGAACTTCTTTAAGTCTCTTTATTACAAAGCAGAAATGAATACATCAGCACAAGACAGCCTACACAGACAGATATGAATGTCAATGTCATCTTTGTCATTTTGGCGCATCCACTGGCGTGTTAGTGAAGTGATATGGACCGACCGAGAGATGCTAGGATCACTGGACTGAAAATAACATTACCTTCCAAAGGATCCTAGTTTTAGGAAAAAGGGTGTTTATTTTCAACAATGTTGACTCAGTAGAGCATTATTTGTTGTTCAGTACATTTCACAATTTGATGCAGGCTTTGCGAACAGACCTTTACAGAAAGATATGTACCCGACAGTAATGCTGTGATATGGAAGAATTATTGTGCAGTCTTGACTTTTTCTTTCCATGACATGAAAAAATACTATAGTAATTTATAGTAAATACTATAGTGTTTTTGAACCATACTGTAGTAAAGTACTTGAATTAATTTGATGTGGTAATTCTATAGTTGCTGTGATAATATAACAACTATAGTAATATAAACAAATTACTTTAAGGCCCATTCACACCAAGCACGATAACTACAAAGGTAACGATAAAGCTAATATCAATATTAAGGAATAGCAGAGTCCACACCACAACTATAACGATAAAGGCACAGAGAAACAATATCGTTGGAATCACTTTCAGAACGATTTTTTCCAGCTGATGAATGATAAAAACATTGACACCTAATCAGGATCCATCCTGCTATCACGAGCTCGAGAATTGAAAGCGGCGGACGAGCGTGCGCTTAGAATAAACAGACGATATCGTTCGCTAGTGTGGACTCTAATATTGTTATCTTTATAGTTATTGTTCTTGGTGTGAACGGGGCTTTACCCAAGACTGTACAAGTTTTCTACAACTATAGGGTATATTATACTACAATACACTCCAGTTTACTGTAGTAAAGTATACTATAGTATTTATTACAGTTTATCAGTTCACTATAGTTAATTCTACCGTATGCTGTAGCATTCATTAACAAAGTGTTGTAAATACTATAATATATACAGTATAATACACTTTACTATAGTATAGTTCAAAAACATTAGGTTACACTTTACTTGAAGGGGTCAGACCAATGACTTATACATACACTATATGGACAAATGTATTGGGATGCTCACTTTTTTTGAACAGAAAGAGGCACTTCCAAAACTGTAGCAACAAAGATGGAAACATAATTCATGTATTTAAAATTTGTATTTCTATCTATTGCAACCGTTTTGGATGTTTTAAAATGACTGTACCCATATGTACAGGTAATTGGTGTTTGGTGATGAGTTTTTGGCCCAAGGTCGGCATTTAAAGTCACACCAGAGGTGTTCAGCTGGGTTTCTGCAGATCGGTCAAGTTCTTCCACACTGATTCAATCAATCATTTCTTTTTGAACCTTGTCTTATACACAGAGGCATTGTCATTAAGTAGAAAAGGGTCCTGTCCAAACTGTTGCTATAAAATTAGAAACACAATTTCCTAGAATATCATTATATGCTTAAACATTAAGATTTCTACTCATGGAAATTTTACTAATGTAGTCAAACCTTTTCATTAGAAGGGGGTGTCCCAATACTTTTGGCAATATAGTGAATGTTAAAAGATCAAGGGAATTTTGGTTTCTCAGTTCATAACCCTTTAACTATTGCTTTAAAGAAAGTACATTCTACTGTAACCACCACTCTCTCTCTCTGTCTGTAGCTGTTACAGTATAATCCAGTGGAGCGGCTGGGTGCGGGAGTTGCTGGTGTGGAGGATATTAAGTCTCATCCGTTCTTTTCTCATGTGAACTGGACCAAGTAAACCATTAGATAGACTTGAATGAGATGATCTAAATTGACTGTTAAATGTCCATATGTACAAAAACATCAAATGGTGCAGAACACATGCTTATTTCACACAGATTCTTACCTACAAATGGCCAAAGCTCATTGTCAACTGTGAGGAAGTTACAATGTGGCATACAGGAAGTTTCTGTTTATGTCAGGAGAAATATCAATACATGCATATATCCTGTATAAAACTGTAAATATGTGTGGGTGTTTAATTTATAGTGTTTACAAAAAGCAGCTGGCAAATTTCACTGCATGAACATCTTTAGCATGTGCTAGAAGGACATGTACAGAGTGATCCTGGTCAATTGTTTCATTGAAATTTATCACAGGCACTACATATTCTCTACTAACCCATCTTATGCTCGGTGTTATTCATTAAATTTCTCTGTGTCAGTGGGCTTACATTTTTTTTTTCACTTGATGTGTTCGATTCTCAATGGTGGTTCACACTCTTTAAGATAATTGTAACTGCAGAATCAAGTCACTTTTATTTCTATATTGCTTTATATAATAGAGATTGTGTCAAAGCAGCTTCACAGAGATAAACCGCAGGATCGGTTATGGAAACTCAACAAAGTTCAGATTCTATAAAAGATGACAGTATCATAATTTAGCTCAAGTCAGTTCAGAGCACAAAGAAAGGAAGAACTACTTTTAAAAGGTGCTTGTGCACCAGATGATCTGTGTATGTCTGTTAATAGTGTGATTGAGTAAGGCAGAAAACATACTGAGAAGTGATGAGAGAGTTAAAGAGGGAGCACAATAGGAAATTAGTTGAACCATGTGATTAAATATATCAGACTTGGAATACATATATTAGGATTTTTCTAGTGTGCAAAGCTGAGTAAGCTTTTAGAACAATTTGATTGCTAGATCAGAATTTACTTGCAGTAGTAACAGGATGAAGAATTGCAATTTGAATCAAAATGTAATGAAGTCATTTTGAAAAAATTAAATAAAAAGTGCTGAAAGTTTATTGGCCTTATGGACAGAAAGAATGAAAGATTTCTTTAGATTGTAATTCAGTACATCTTCCTGTTGAGTATGTCTAATTTAATTCAAGTGAAGTGCTGATAGTCTCTGACAATAGATATGTATTCAAAACATTTATTACAAAAACATGTACAAACAGATTTTTGTATATACACTGCTCAAAAATATTAAAGGAACACTTTGAATACACAACAGATCTCAATGGGGAAAAATATCATGCTGGACATCTATACTGATATGGACTGGGTAATGTGTTAGGAACGAAAGGATGCCACATCGTTTGATGGAAATGAAAATTATCAACCTACAGAGGGCTGAATTCAAAGAAACCCCAAAAATCAAAGTGAAAAAATGGTGCACCAGGCTAGTCCATTTTGCTGAAATTTCATTGCAGCAACTCAAAATGGTACTCAGTAGTTTGTATGGCCCCCACGTGCTTGTATGCATGCCTGACAACGTCAATGCTCCTAATGAGACGACGGATGTTGTCCTGGGGTATTTCCTCCCAGATCTGGACCAGGGTATCACTGAGCTCCAGGACAGTCTGAGGTGCAACTTGGCGGCATTAGATGGACCAAAACATAATGTACCAGAGGTGTTCTATTGGATTTAGGTCAGGTGAGCGTGGGGGCCATTCAGTGGTATCAATTCCTTCATCCTTCAAGAACTACCTGCATACTCTCGCCACATGAGGCTAGGAATTGTCGTGCACCAGGAGGAACCCAGGACCCACTGCACCAGCGTAGGGTCTGACAATGGGTCCAAAGATTTCATCCCGATAACTAATGGCAGTCAGGGTACCATTGTCTAGCCTGTAAAGGTCTGTGCGTCCCTCCATGGATGTGCCTCCTCAGACCATCACTGACCCACCACCAAACCGGTCATGCTGAACGATGTTACAGGCAGCATAACGTTCTCTATGGCTTCTCCAGACCCTTTCACGTCTGTCACATGTGCTCAGGGTGAACCTGCTCTCATCTGTGAAAAGCACAGGGCGCCAGTGGCAGACCTGACAATTCTGGTGTTCAATGGCAAATGCCAATCAAGCTCCACGGTGCCGGGCAGTGAGCACAGGGCCCACTAGAGGATGTCGGGCCCTCATGCCACCCTCATGAAGTCTGTTTCTGATTGTTTGGTCAAAGACATTCACACCAGTGCCCTGCTGGATGTCATTTTGTAGGGCTCTGGCAGTGCTCATCCTGTTCCTCCATGCACAAAGGAGCAGATACCGGTCCTGCTGATGGGTTGCGGACCTTCTACGGCCCTGTCCAGCTCTCCTAGAGTAACTGCCTGTCTCCTGGAATCTCCTCCATGCTCTTGAGACTGTGCTGGGAGACACAGCAAACCTTCTGGCAATATCACGTATTGATGTGCCATCCTGGAGGAGTTGGACTGCCTGTGCAACCTCTGTAGGGTCCAGGTATCGCCTCATGCTACCAGTACTGAGACTGACCCTAGCCAAATGCAAAACTAGTGAAAAACAGTCAGAAAAGATGAGTAGGGAATAAAATGTCAGTGGCCTCCACCTGTAAAACCATTCCTGTTTTGGGGGTCGTCTCATTGTTGCCTCTAGTGCACCTATTGTTAATTTACTTAACCCCAAAGAGGCTGAAACTGATTAACAACCCCCTCTGCTACTTAACTGACCAGATCAATATCCCAGGATTTTAATTGACTTGATGCTATACTCTGATTAAAAAGTGTTCCTTTCATTTGTTTTTTGAGCCATTTATAATGTTTTAATAACATATATTCTTGACATATATGGTGAATACATCTAAAAAATCATATACGTTTTACTATGGGGATGGGGATATGTTAGAAACTTATATCGCCATCTACCCAGGGAATATGTGAAAATGATAAATGGCCCTATAGATAACATATATGGTAATATCACTCTTGATATAGGAAAAGATATGTCATATATTACATTTTTATGGGGTCTTCCCAGTTGGATATACCTGGAACACCTGATCCGGAAGACTAAACAGACGTCTGAACCATGTAAACTGGCTCCTTTCAATGTGGAGCATCAAGAAGGACTATACTCCAAGCCCCTCTCAGATGTCTGAGCTTCACACCCTGTCTCTCAGGGTTAGCCCAGACAGAAATTGAAATCAGGACAACCAAGTAATAAAGTAGCCAACAAATAGCTGTGTGAAAGAAAATGCAAAATCAGAAGTCAGAAAGAGTTTCATTGGCAAGAATGTGTACACACACAGGCAATTTGTCTTGGCGAACGAGAGCGAACCATTTACTTTTAGTTATGCGACTGGTTGGCGGGTTTCTGGCTGACAGCAACTGACTTTTGGATGCTGCAATTCTGATTTTAATTCCGAATGTTTGTCACTAGGTTTGTGCTGGTAAAACAATGAATCAGTGCCTTGAGGGCCAGCATTGCCCAGTCCTGGTCTAGTAAATGACCTCTGGTTAATTTTATTATGTAGATTCAGTTTTAAGCTGGGGACACACTACAAGACTAGCTGAAACATTCTAAGACTGACCTCAACACACTTAATATAAACATCATTTAGTATTTTTAATTAATTTTTCCTGACGAAAATGTTAGGTCTTACTATCCTTCTGGGGACATTTGGTCCCCACAATGAAGGAAAAACCTTTACACACACACACACTCCAAAGACATAATGCTTTTTATGCTGTATAAACATTATGTTCTATCCCTTGTAGAAAACATTGTTTTTACATTGACATTTTTCATTTGTCAGTGTTACCTGCGAATAAAAAAATTTAGCTGAAAATATTTATAATGTTTTAAGGTCCAGAAGCTGTGGCTACAATCAGAACACAAGAAAATGTGTTCCAAATCCGATTTTTATATGTGACTTGGAACATTTTATTTTATGACAGTGTGAACAGCACAAACCACATGGAATCTGATCTTTTCGATTCTGATTTGGGTCACTTTCATATGTAGTCCTAAATCTGATTCAGGTCATGTTTTGCATTGTGATCACAGTCTGAACAGTAAAAATGGACTTTCACATCACTCCAGACCGACATTTGTCATTATTCCGCGCTGACAGTAGATTTTACATACATCAACTAGAGGATTGCGTTTGATATGCTTTCACACTTTCACTGACATGCATACTTTTTAAATATTTTAAATTCATATGTTTTAAAATAATATTGTGAATGATTACATTTATTTAGAAAATATTATTTTCAAAAAATAATGGCAGGATATTCTATTAAGTTGTTAGAGCTCGGTAAAAATAAAGATGTGGTGATGGTCCTAAGTTCAGAACTTGTGTTTATTTAACAAAAATAACTGGTACAGAACAACCAAACTCACGTTTATTTAACAAAAATAACTCCGGTACAGAACAACCAAACTCAAATGTAACACAAACTGACAATGAACAGAAAGAAACAGAGCTTAAATACACTGAAACAAACCAATCAAACACAGATGCAGACACTAATCAATCAATGAGTAACTAAAGTAGCAAATGAATGTACAAAGGAAACATCTAAAAACTGAGAAAATACAAAGTTCAATAAAATCAAACACAAATGACTTGTAACAGTATACCCCCAACAAAGAGGCGTCCTCATTAAACAAAAGGTCCAACAGGAGGGTGGGAGGACTTAGGTGGAGGTCACAGAGCCGGGATACAGGTAGGCAGGGCCAGGGTAGAGACAGAAGCACAAGGACCAGGACACAAGCTTACCCAGGCAGGAGGTATGTGCATGTCCATAACAGGCCGATGCGATACGCACGATGTATAGCCGATGATACGATACATTAAAGATACATACAGCAGGTAAAATCAAGTATTGAAAACTTCACAATTTTTCTCAGTAAATATATTTCTAAAGGTGCTGTTGACATGAAACCCAAGTGCATACAAAGAAAACAAAACAAATACCTAGTGATGTTACGTTCTGTGCCGAGGCTTCGGAGCGTGTGTTAAGAAATCCCGGCAGCTTTAGTGAAGCGCATATCGAGGCTTGTATCGCTTTAGAGCAGTGACGTCAGATGACGTCCGAAGCCTCGCTTGGCCTGACTGGTTCAGTAAGTGGTTCAAATCTTGTAAATTCACAGTCCTCTGCCCTGTTAAACCCAGTCACTTACCAGTTTTAGACTAATAATACTGCCCCTCCTGCCTATTATGAGCAAAGACTTGATTTACACACATTTGATAGTCCCATTCATTTCAAGCCAATAGGTTTATTACACAGTTATGTTATGTTATACAATCATTATATACCACTAGAAAATACACATTATATTCATATAAATAGATTAGTCTATGTGGAAATTGATTTTTTTCCCCCTTCACCATTATCTCTAATCCATAACTGGCGCAAAATACAGTGTATCACAGATCACATCAGGTCATCTGTAATGTATCTGCTTGTTTTACACTATTTGGTTACCAGGTGGTAGTGTGAGCAAATGAAGCCTCGAGAAATGAACCCTTTTGTGAACCACTTGGCTGAAAAGCTTCAATGCTTCATCTTGCCATCACTACAAATAACTTCAGAAATTAAGTTCTGTCATGACAACTCTCGGAGGGATTGGCATGGTAATGTACATGACAATGTTAATGTATTTGGTGGAATACCTCTGCTACGCCGCTGCGGCAGAGCAAGTACCGAGGCTTGCTACTGCCAATACATCCACAACATGCTGCAGTAAGCATGTAAGAAATACTGCTGCTGCACATATAACACATATGAATAACCCCCATATAGCATACATGAATCACCCCGTAGCAGATCTATACAGGTGGAGCTGGGGAAGGTGGAGGGTTTCTGAAGTGCGCTGCAAACTGCTACAGCAAACAAAAGCCAGGTATTTGAATATTGAGCAGTAAGCTCATTGGCTACCGATACAGGAGAGAACCAATTAGCTGCCATGTGACAATAATGTCGCCAGGTCAGATTGAGCTAGACCTATCGGACTGCTCCATCTAGAGTTTCATGCCAGAACTCTGTATTTATGTATTTATGGAGCAGGGTTGGAACTAGAGATGGGCAGATGAAGTCTTGTGAAGCTTTTGAGGCTTTTTCCTGAATGTACCAAAAAGATTCAAAGCCTCAAAGACAGACCCTACCACTGACATCTAGTGGTCAGCTGCAATTATACCAGCCACTTTCAAATGATTCACACATCTTGTTGATTCCAGTTTCAACACAAAAGCAATACTCAGCAATAGCAGCTGTGTCTTCATTCTGAGAATCATTGTACACACATGAAAGTGTTACTATGTTACTATGAAGCAGGGAGGGACCACCAAGCATTTCGCATCTCCTTATAATGAATGAAGCCATGCCAACGATTCGCATCAGTCATCTCGCTTCGCTTCGAGGTGCGAACAAGGTGGGAAGGAGATCGATGGAGCCGAAGGGGTGGATGGACAAATCGCCAATGAATTCCCGGAAGTCTGTGGTGCAGGCAGAGAGCGACGATTGACCAAGGCAGAGCCGACTGGACGAGGGAGCCCGGTGGAGCCGAAGGAGTGAGGAGCCAAGGAAGAGCCGACTAGTCAACGTGCCAAAGTGGAGTGATGGGCTAAGAAAGTCTAGGCCAGGGGTGGCAAACATCAGTCCTGGAGAGTCACAATCCTGCAGAGTTTCACTCCAACCCCAATCAAACACACCTGAACTAGCTAATCAAGGTCTGAGGGTTACTAGAAAGCTACAGGTAGAGGAGTTTTATCAAGGTTAGAACAAAACTCTGCTGGACTATGGCTGTATAGGGCTCTTCAGTCTCCAGGACCGACATTGTCCACCCCTGGCCTAGGCAGAGCAAAGGGGTCAACACTCCAGAGTGGAGCTGGTAGACAGGAAGCCCAGGGTGGATCCAGGCTGCTAGGAGGAGCCAGCGAAGAAGGAGCCAAAGGGCTGAGTGAAGCCAGTGGAGACAGAGCTGAAGAACTGGGAAGCTTAGGCAGAGGAGGAGGGAGGGATTTCTGGAGACACTGGGTACTTTGAGCTGGGTGGAACCAGGTCTATTTTAATGACGTCCTTAGTACATTTCTGTGACTGAGAACATTTCAGTTGCATTGCTGTCTATGCAGGGTCAAAAAGCACTCAGATTTCATAAAAAATATCTTAATGTGTGTTCCGAAGATGAATGACGCTCTTAGGGGTTTGGAGCGAAATGAGGGAGAGTAATTAATGACAGAATTTTCATTTTTGGGTGAACTATCCCTTTAAGTATACCGTATGTGTAAATTTGTGTTCTTTTATTAATTTGCAAAGCTTCGTATTTGTTTTTTTTTTAAGTAAGGGTTGACTAACTAGGCTAATTAGAAACAATTAACTATCACTTTCCCTTTTGCATTATGCTTGTATTTGTCATTAAGCCGAGAACACACTACACGACTGTCATGCCGATTATGAATGTAATTTGGTTGTGACGACGGATCATGCCCAGTCGGGTCTGTTCCAGTTGGGCTCAGCCCCAGTTTGCAGTTGGCAAAAAAATCGCATAGTGTGTGGTGTCTAAAGATTATAATCTTAGAATTCAAAACGCATTCACTGTCAAACGTCATTAAAATTTAAAAATTCTGTAAGGGTAGGCTTAGTGGATAGAACATATTGTTAGGTCAGAAAATATATATATTTGCGGCAATGACAGAGTAAGCTAAATAATAGCAAAAAACACCTCTTTCAATAAACTGTGCACGATGGTTGCACGCGCACGCAGCCTGCCAGTGTAGTAGTTGGCTTCATTAACAAATGACTCTTATGAACCGGGGTCAAAACCACAAAGCGCGCCCAGTTCAGTACTAACGAATTGTTTATACATTTGTTCGTGAATCAGATAATTACTGCTTTTCAGGTAACTCAAAAGTCATCTGAGAAATCTAATCCCGTCCGGATATGTCTGAGATGCATCGTGTAATTGTTTGGTGATCCGATCCTCCGACCGCTCGCTCCACTTTCATCATGGATATAAGCCGTGACAGTAATGTGAAATCAATAAGAAGATGCGATCACGGAAACTAATAGCAGAGTTAGGTAAGAATCTAGTCGTATTGCAGTTTTCTCGATTGTTAACATATAACTGATTTTAGTTGGCAAATTAATTCCGTTTTCAAAACAAAGACACCTTTCTCAAAAAGTTTAACAATGAGTAAGTTAAACATTAGGTAGCAAAACTGATGACACAGCAATCAGAATCTCTGCATCCTAACAACGGAGAGAGGAGAGAGCTGAGTCAATCATGATCTACAGGGGTTTTATAGGCCTACTTACACAGTATAATTACAGTATACCAGTACATTAGATGTTTGTATTAAAGATATTACAAATAATTTGGTAGAAAAACAGTGTTTTTACTTTTATTGGTGCAAAGATGAGTTGTGGTGATATTTATTTTGTACAGCATTTGCAACTGCTTTTTATCACTTAATTAGAAGCACCACAAATTAAAATTATGTCATGCTATAGGGACTACTGAACAGACATTTAGAAGTTGATTTTAAAATGCAAAGTATTTCAAATTAAAATTAAAATAAAGCTGTGTAAACACTTGCATTTTTACAACACTATAAGTGTGTCCCATCAGGTAATGAAAAGTTGTACACACACTTGTGGTCTTCATGCTCACTTTTACACTTGGGCCAAATACAGGAAATACGTCATATAAGTAGTCAAGTGCTCAAGTGCAAAGACTGCAAGCGTGGGTATTTGGACAAAGCCTGTGTGTATTTGGACAAGGCAACTATCTTCAGCTGGGACGTTCCCGTGACAACGCAGCACGGTGTCCGTCAGAAGATGTCGCTGTTTTACTGGCATATATGTCTTTTTATTGTTGTTAGCATAACTGTTGCAAATAAACATACATTTTATATTTTAAAAGTTTTTCAAATATGCTATATAATATATATAAAACTTTTTAAAATATATATATTTTTTTTATGCCGGAGTGCGTCAGCGAATCAGCTGACTGACACCGTGCTGCGTTGTCACGGGAACATCCCAGCTGAAGATAATGAGGCACGCACGTGCCCTGCTCACTCCAAAATCCCCACTCCAAGGGCTCTGCCCTTCAAAGGCATAGGGATGATTACTTCCATTTGGAATTTGCCCCGTGAACCGTACGGTACGAATACGTGTACTGTTACACCCCTAATATATATATATATATATATATATACACACACATACATACATACATACATATATATATATATATATATATATATACACACACATATATGTTTGTGTGTCTAGCTAAAATGCTGTCTATGTAGGGCAAATCGCAAAGAATTGAGGCATGACCGCGGATTACGTCACTGTTTCTGCCCTTGCTTTCACAGGTAACACAACACCTGAGCTCTGAAGCAGGTAGATACAGACGAATGTGTTGCTCTTGACAGCTTTCGACAGAAAACCCTTTGAACGAATTTTTTTTATATATATATATATATAGGAAACAATGCTAAGCGACTGAACTAGATTTTTACCAGTCAGTTCTGCTGACACTACAGCTAAAGTGGATTGGCGAATTTTTAAGACATTTATACCTCACACCAGGATACTTTTAAATTCAACAAAAATGGACTCGTGGCGTTTTCTTTTCGCTGCCTTGGTTTTTATTCTCGGTGTTCATGGCGGCGAAACACAGAGTAGCACAGAGGACAAACTCACATCAGCACAGGGCCAGTGTGTCCAGCCTTTCAAGTCCGGTCGGAAAGACTTTGTTCTCGACACGGAAGAGTCGATTGAGGATGGGGCCGTTTTCCTGTCAAACCCGAGCGTCGCGCACAGGAACGCGTGCATTGCTGCGTGCTGCAGAGATCCCAGATGCAACTTGGCCCTCATAGAAGACGGATACGAGAAGGGACCCAACAACAGCTGCTTTCTCTTCAACTGCTTATATAAGCAAAAATATGTCTGTCGATTTATTCAGAAGAAGGGGTTCACAAATGATATACTGGATTCAGTCTATGAATATTACCTGAACGGCCGCAAAAGTGGTAAACTTTATTCTTTGCTCGCTGTCTCTCTGTATATAGGATATATTTATATATATATATATTTCCAAATGTCTTAACTTACTCTTCCTGTTAAATGACTCACTGGATGTATGATGAATGCAAGGCTGTGCAGCAGTTAAGCCAGTGGCTCTCAGATCTGCCTTCAGTCCACACAGTGCTCACTTTTCACAATCCAGTCAATAACCAGTAAATGTAATCAAGTCTGGATAGTTCATTTCACTTAGAAATACATCACGATACAGTAATGAACTTGGTTGCAACTTTTCAGCTTGTTTTGTCCAAGTACCCCAGCATCATAGCTAATTATTGTTACAATAGTAAAATATTGAAAATAATATATTAATAAATTAGTTTAAAGACTTTAAGAATCATAATTTTCTTATTCGGTGCAACTTCTTTTTAATTGTGTGTGTGTACAGGGGCTGATTCCATTTATATGTTCTAAATAAATAAATAAATAAATATATATATATATATATATATATATATATATATATATATATATATATAAGGGGTCCCTCAGACTGCCACATTAGCAAAATAGTGTACTCGTACTTTTCAGGTTTATGATGCCATTACTGGAAGAACTGTTGTCTTTCATTAGAATTTTGTCAGGAACTTATGGGTACCATTTTCTGACTCGGCCCTTTTCAAAAAGGTAGAGGTTCTCTAGAGGGTTCTATTATAAAGATACATCAGGTATCTTTTTCATTTTTAGGTGTATAAAAGATTGATATTTTGTCTTAAATCAAGCAAGGTGTAGGCCTAATTATATGAATGAATTTTATTTCATTTTTTAAATCTGAGTGATTGTCATTTAAACAAGTATATGACCATGATATGAATGTGTATTATCACATGGTAACTATTATTTTGTTATTTTAAGTCATGTACATTCTTTAGCAGTGACTATAAATCTGAGTGATTGTCATTTAAACAAGTATATGACCATGATATGAATGTGTATTATCACATGGTAACGATTATTTTGTTATTTTAAGTCATGTACATTCTTTAGCAGTGACTAGTGAGTGGAATATCATTGATATTTTTCTTCAGCTGGGAAGGACAAACCGCCCATTGCCAACGCTGGACGGGATGTGGTGGTCCAGCCTAATGAGGAGGTGTTGCTGAATGGCATTGAGAGTTGGGATGATAGGAACATCATCAGCTATGAATGGAGTCTCATCAGTGGAGATGAATCTCTCCATATAGAGGTATTATATTGGATTCTAGCGTATGAGCTGATATGTTATGATATTAATGTTGTCAGGTAATTATGTTTCCAGTTATGATGTTAAAATGAATTAAGATGCTTTGAAGGGATTGTTTCTTTGTCATCTTAAAAAAGCAAATTCTGTCATTATTTACTCACCTTCATGTCATTCCAAACCTGTATGACTAACTTTATGTAGAACATAAAAAGAAATGTATCCATGTTTCCCTCACTCACTAGTTGACCGCTTTTGTTTTATAGCATAACAATACCCAATATCTGATCTGAATCTAATTAACTGCTCAACAGAAAACTGATCTGCCAGACCAGGTGAAGGTGTCCAAGTTGGTACCTGGGGTGTATAAGTTCAAACTGACAGTGACCGATTCTGCACACCATTCTGATTCTGCTCAAGTCACTCTCTTGGTTCTCACTCCTGACCAATCTGAGCGTGAGTATTATTTTTAATTTGCTTTGCTGACGCACTCCTAGGCTTATACCTTTAGAAATGAGGCTCCGTATTTATCTCACTATTAATGAGAAGTAAATGGAAAAACAAATTATAGTGCTAACTTATATTTATGGAGTTGTTCTCCTACCTGTCATCTTTGTAAATGTTTAAGAATACCATAGTATTTTTTAACCTGGAAAATAAACTTGGAAATAAACAGAGCTTTATGTTGATATATTTAACATAAAGAAAAGTTTTGTGCTAATGTGGTTTATGCTTTAAAATGTCATTGTGTAATGTGTACTATGAACATTGCTGTCTCTTATGACAAACTGTGTTAGTAAAAAATGAAGGAGATTAAGGTAAAGCACATTTTCAGACATGTCTTAGGCTTACAAATAACTAATGTAGTGATGGGTTGGAGATGACTCTCTCTCTCTGTGTGTGTGTGTGTGTGTTTTTTTTATTGTGTGAGAGACCTTACCGCTCCCTCTGCAAATGTGCAGAACCGGTTTGACGTGTTACAGGCTTTGAGTCATAGTTGCGCAGTATATGGATAACTGCTGTGCGTAAACACAAAACACACCCCCAGCAAAGACCTATGAATGAATTACAGCAAACTGTGAAGATAAATTATCTCGTAGCATTCTCTTCTGTAACCTCAAACATCAGTAAATGTCACCTTTGACATTTTGGACTTGCCTAACAAAGAGGCAAAAAGAACTGGAGAGGGAAAAATATGAAGGTGAAAAAGGGGGGCAGCAGGAGGGGAAACCGATATCAATTAAGTATTTTATGGTCAAATGACAGAAGAATGAACCCACTGAAGAAATGAGGTCAGTTTTAGCAGCTGTTGAATCATTGCATGTAAATGCTTTTTACTCACTGTCTAATCACCCTGTTTATGTGACGCATCCATGTCTGGTTCATGACTACAGCAGCACATTTTGTGTGATGGAACATGTAATTGTTTTAAGATAATGATATTCCATTAAACAACAACTTTACACATGCATATATTTACTTTAGGGAATTGTTTGTCATAAATCATACAAAATTTAGAGAGGGTTATGCCTAAAGCAAAAATAATAAGTATATTTTCTGAAGGAAATATAAGTGGTGCCTATCGTGGCAACACTGCAGTTGATAGGGTGCTTACAAATGTGGTTGCTACAGTGGCTGCCCTACCCTGGGTGGTTGCAAGACTGTTGCTAGTGTGTTCTGGGTGGTTGCTAGGTCTTTGCTTGGTTGTTCTGGGTGGTTGCCAGTAGAGCCCAACATCATGTCTCTGATATTCTGGTGCTTGTTTATGTTCCTATACAGTTGCTAGGCTCCTCTGGATGGTTACTAGGGTGAACCAGTAACCAGGTTGATAGTTACAGACTAGTTGTCTATATGTGACCCTGAACCACAAAACCAGTCATAAGGGTCAATTTCTGAAATTGGGATTTATACATCATCTGAAAGCTGAATAAATACGCTTTCCATTGACATATGGTTTGTTAGGATAGGACAATATGTGGCGGAGATACAACTATTTGAAAATCTGGAAGAATCTGAGGGTGCAAAATATTGAGAAAATTCTTTAAAGTTGTCCAAATGAAGTTCTTAGCAATGCAAATTACTAATCAAAAATTAAGTTTTAATATATTTATGTTAGAAAATTTACTAAATATATTCATGGAAAATGATCTTTACTTAATATCCTAACCATTTTTGGCATAAAAGAAAAATGGATAATTTTGACCCATACAATGTATTTTTGGCTATTGCTACAAATATACCCCAGCGACTTAAGACTGCTTTTGTGGTCCAGGGTCACATGTTCAGTTCTTAGCAATGCAAATTACTAATCAAAAATTAAGTTAATATATTTATGTTAGAAAATTTACTAAATATATTCATGGAAAATGATCTTTACTTAATATCCTAACCATTTTTGGCATAAAAGAAAAATGGATAATTTTGACCCATACAATGTATTTTTGGCTATTGCTACAAATATACCCCAGCGACTTAAGACTGCTTTTGTGGTCCAGGGTCACATGTTCATATATATATATATATATATATATATATGAACATATGTGACCCTGGACATAGCCATATATATATATAGTTACATGCTAGCCCTTTTTGTCTAGGAGGTAATGGTCTTAGCAGTAACATTTTTGGAGAGAGAAAGCACAGGGAACTCGTATCTCCAGCCCCAATAACACCTCCAAACAAAAAGAAAACATTTAACTTTATTCAATCATAAGAAAAAGATAAGGAAACATAAACTTCAGGAGGGGGCAAAGGCCAACACAACAAACAAAAGATGTCTAACTCAATTTTAACCATAACTTACCTATACATAAATCACCTTTGCCAGTGCGTAAGAAAACACGTGTCGCTTCCCTATCAACTACTTCACCAACGGAAGGGGATACATTAATACGACGTGCAGGAGGAAACACATTCCGATGAGTCAACACGAACTCATCAGCCAAAACCGCGGCATATATATATATATATATATATAATGCATATGCTATATAGATTTCTATATGTTCTGGTGCTAGAATGCGACTGAAAGGTCCTTGACAAAAGAGACCACTACTATAATGTTCTTATCCAGAGATATCCCTCTCATATTACATATGGGATGCTGGCTAGAGTAAGTTAAATGAACACAGCCCTAAGTCTCCATGACATTCTGATCCAGAGTCTGCCTAATTCCTTCTCAGAGGGATTTTTCTGTACGGATGGGCAATATAACCAAAATCATTTTTCTCAATATTGTATCATAATATTATGATATTACGTCACTATAATGATGTGTAACAGGTTGTTACGATACCAGCAGTTCTAAATAGCAGCTTCTATACAACAGCAAAAACTATTACTAGGCTAATTAATACAGTCAGTAATAAAATAAGAAGCTTAATACAAACATTAGAGTAAAGGCAATAAATAAAAAAATATTGTATCTAAAAGTTAGGAAATACTAAAGAAACTAAATAAAGTACATTTATTCCTAAACTTAAATTGGTAGAGAAGTTATTCGGTCGAAAGCGATGAGCTAAATTAGGCTGCTGTCACTTTAAGTCCTAATGAATGGATCCATTATAGTGATATCCAAATTTCTCCCAGCTGTTTACATTCATTTAAGACATAACCATAAGTAAGGTTTGTGAATATTTTCATAAATACCGGCCAAGACAGCCATTTTGGCTTATTGGGCCTCATTCATGAAACACGAGCAGAACAACTTTGTGTGTAAATCGTTCGTAAAGCTGTTTTTGGATTCATGAAAGTGTTCGTATTTTCAAAATGTTAGTTGGTACGAAATAAATGTACACCTTCTCCTTACCATGTGTAAATGGTGTGTAAAACGTTCTGTGTTCTTTTTGCCAAACTGATGACACTGAATTTTAATTATTATAAAATTAAAAATTTTAATTAATAAAATTTTACGAGTTTGTTTGCGCCGGGAGGTTTTTTTTTTTGTTTTTGTTTTTTTGAGCGAGTTAATAAACTGTTTAGCTTTGGGTAAAACGCAGCGCTTGTCACTGTCACTTTTTACCCAGCCGTCCAATCAATGGAGGAGGGGCGGGACAAATACTACACCGACCAATCATCCTACTTGTACAACAACTGAACAACAACAGAGAAGTTAATATTGCTGGCTACTGCATTTTTATAGTGATGGGAAGTTCGGATCATTTTACCGATTCGGATCTTTGAGTCTCGTTCAGCAAAATGAACAAATCTTTTTTTTTGAGTAATTTCATTCATTTGGTTCAATTTACAAAGTGTAATTAAAATGTTACGTGTTACTTCCCTAACACATCTACTACTTACGCAAATGTTGATCACACTACAAACAAGACAAAACTATAATGCTATAAGAAACAGAAAATATTAATTAATTGTTTGCCTGGATCTTTAGTCTATGCAAGCTCACCTCACCTCTTATCTGACAAGTCTTCGGGTTTGAGTCGTTCGTTCATCACGTGACAGCCCGATAAGCTTTGAGCATCTTTCGAGTCTTTCGAGTCATTCATTCTTTTGTCACGTGACGTGACAGCAACCTTCCCAATCCTTACAAACGGGTGCATAGTTATTATTATTATTATTTACTCTTACAGTTACGTGATGCATTTCTGGTCTCAAATTGTATTTCAAATTAATTCTTACAGTTGATAAATGTGTGATTTTCTGTCATGATGGTTCTTTTCCTGTGGTAATAAAGGTAATAAAGAGTTGGTTATGCTTTAAATTTTGTCCATATGATGGTGAAATCACTTTGATAAAGCAGTGTTTTTTGTTTTTTTTTTGCATTGTTTAAGCTTATGGGGCTGGCTAAAAACGCTTTGGTGAACACACGTTATTAATTATAAAATTAAAAATTTTAATTAATACAATTTTACGAGTTTGTTTGCGCCGGGAGGTTTTTTTGTTTTTGTTTTTGTTTTTTTGAGCGAGTTAATAAACTGTTTAGCTTTGGGTAAAACGCAGCGCTTGTCACTGTCACTTTTTACCCAGCCGTCCAATCAATGGAGGAGGGGCGGGACAAATACTACACCGACCAATCATCCTACTTGTACAACAACTGAACAACAACAGAGAAGTTAATATTGCTGGCTACTGCATTTTTATAGTGATGGGAAGTTCGGATCATTTTACCGATTCGGATCTTTGAGTCTCGTTCAGCAAAATGAACAAATCTTTTTTTTTGAGTAATTTCATTCATTTGGTTCAATTTACAAAGTGTAATTAAAATGTTACGTGTTACTTCCCTAACACATCTACTACTTACGCAAATGTTGATCACACTACAAACAAGACAAAACTATAATGCTATAAGAAACAGAAAATATTAATTAATTGTTTGCCTGGATCTTTAGTCTATGCAAGCTCACCTCACCTCTTATCTGACTAGTCTTCGGGTTTGAGTCGTTCGTTCATCACTTGACAGCCCGATAAGCTTTGAGCATCTTTCGAGTCTTTCGAGTCATTCATTCTTTTGTCACGTGACGTGACAGCAACCTTCCCAATCCTTACAAACGGGTGCATAGTTATTATTATTATTATTTACTCTTACAGTTACGTGATGCATTTCTGGTCTCAAATTGTATTTCAAATTAATTCTTACAGTTGATAAATGTGTGATTTTCTGTCATGATGGTTCTTTTCCTGTGGTAATAAAGGTAATAAAGAGTTGGTTATGCTTTAAATTTTGTCCATATGATGGTGAAATCACTTTGATAAAGCAGTGTTTTTTGTTTTTTTTTTGCATTGTTTAAGCTTATGGGGCTGGCTAAAAACGCTTTGGTGAACACACGTTATTAAATATTTATTGTTAGGCATATGGCCTATTAGTGTGTTTTTGCATTTATGCAATATACTGGAGCCAAACCTGAGAAAGTAGACCAGAATATTTCACTGCGTAGCTGTAATTCATAGGTGAGGATTATGCTAATTGTGAATGAGCATGCACACTGGCCCTATTTACGAATGATTGGAATTGATTAACATATGCATGTTTAACTATCAAATCGGATGTATACGAAGCATTTGTGAATCCAGAGAAGAGTTTTCGGGAAGGTCCGTTTTATGCAAAAATTACTCAGAATTGACTCCTATATTTACGAATGTTTCATAAATGAGGCCCATTGTGTGTATTTGGGAGCACACTGATTTGGAAGCCAAAAGTGTACTTTGCTTGCCCTGGTTTTGCTCCATCTCATTCTGTCAGACAGCTTGGGAGTGCTGCGTAATGATTGTTTAGTACCAGTTATTATTTTCTGTACTGGAATACCCCCCCGGCTCTACCCAAACATCATATGCCCTGTTGCTTATAAAAGTAGCAGAATTCTCAATAAGCCCGAATGATTCCGCACCTCATTCATGTGTGTATAACAAACAGATTGAGATGAAAACAATGGTAATAGTGGTAGTATGTTTTTAGTATGGCAATAATACTTTTTTTTTTTAATTTCTCAAGCACCCTTAATAATACGGAGTAAGACAAATTTACTTAATTTGCACTATATTATTAATAAAGTCTTTTAAAAAATAAAAATTAATATTTGTCTGTTTTCAGTAAACATGATTAAGAACACAATTTTAGCAGTGTTAGTGGGTACACTCTAAAAAATGCTGGGTTGTTTCAACCCAACAGTTGGGTTAGTCCATATTTGACCCAACATTGGGTTGAAACAACCCAGCATTTTTTAGAGTGTATATGCACCTGTTAGATCATTGTCTTGTCATGAATGAACTTGTGATGAAATGCCACCGGAATGAAGAAATTCTCTTTTTACTAAAAGTTCGGCTCTGAATTCTTTCTGGGACATATGGTGATACTGTGGGCGTATGAATGATGAAACTCAAAATGCCCACTGGGTCAAACAATAATGTAGACAATCCCTTGAGCCCCTTAGGAACTTTAGGTACACCCCTGCATTTTGAACATGCCAAAATGGTTCATCCCACATGCATGCTTCAACAATAACTTGAATTTCAACAATGAACTTACAAAGAAGTAACTGAAAGGAACATGTCTTGTCATGTTATTCATGCTAACAACTGCATGTTGCCCTATTTGCCCAGTTGTATTTGCACACTCAATTCTACATTTTCTTAAATTTCCTTGTGCTTGATTTTTGAGTTACGCGTAATTACATATTTGACAAGTGTCCAATTTATTTTATTTTTCTTACTATTGCACTTATAAGCTCCAGTATTTTCGTTGATGGTTCCACGAGGAACTGTTAACATCTATGAAATCTTTCAATTGCACAGAAGGTTCTTTATAGTGGAAAATGGTTCTTTAGGTTATTCAAATGTTTTTCACATTAAGAAAAAAATAATTTAAGAACTATTCATTTTAAGATTTTTTGGGGGGGGGAAGCCAAAATCGTGGTTCTATGGCATCACTTTTATTTCTAAGAGTAACGTGCTTGCATTATTATTTTTATTATTATTGCGTATGCTTGTGAGTTTGCTCAAATTGCTAAGCCTAGTAATAAGCTCATGACTGGTATCCCAATTAGTGTGGCTTGTTGAGGAGAGGTCTACTGTTACTTTTCGAAGCAATCTGACTTTCACCTGGTGGGTAAACAAAAAGTCCCTTAGACTAACGTTGAAGGGACAAGAATATCATGGACTCTTTACATCTGTATTTAACATGTGTTTTCTGAAATTGGGCCAAGATTGGATCACACCTGACCACATTAAAAGAATGGTGTAAATACTCCCAAGATACATTTTGATCTGATTGTGATCGGATCACTGAACACGCATTTGGGTGTGGTCTGACCACATTTATTATGGGTGTATTATATACAAATGACAGATAAGTTAGGAGTAGCTCTTGAGAGACCAGCAGCAAGGTTGTGAGGGAGTAAAGGTTTAAGCAACTAATAACTAATAAAGACTGACTTTTCAGGGTGGAAGATAAATTTCTTACAAAATTACTGTGGGTTTCTGGAAGATACATTCTTCAAAAAGTGTTACAAGAGATAGTAATAATTGTCCTACAAGAGTCATTCTTATTCTTATCCGTCTTTAAGTATTTCCTGACACCAGTTTTTCTATAGTATTTTTATTTTTTTGTCTGAATTTAATTTTAAATTTCTGTAGTTTTTATATTTAAAAAAAACAATACTAATTAGTTATTTATTTTATTTTTTGTCAGTTTAGTTTTTGTTTTAATGATTAACCCTAAAGTGCACCAGCTGGCTTAATGCTCAAATTCACAACAGTTCTGCTATGGATTTCTTTGGAACTATGTTTGTTGGCAAAATAGAGCAAAAACATATTTAAAATCATGTCTATGGACAAAATGTCACTTAATATTAATCGTAACTCTTATGGAGCATTAGTATAAAATCAGTATCAGGGTTGCAATCATTCTCACTCGTTAAAGCAGTTCTCTTGCTCTTACGATATTGCATAAATATTTCATGTTAAAAAAAATCTCTTACAATAACTTTTCTTACTTTTTTTACAATCAAATCTTTTTGCAAATTTTATTTGAATAACTGAATTTTTGGGCTATTTGTATTCTTTATGGTGATATTTTAGTGGTGGAATCCCCACAGATTTTTGACTTGGCACAACAGTAGCAAAAGCCATCAAATTAGAAATGTATTGATTGCATTTGAAGCAGGACATTTTACATCAATCACAGTATGATAACAAATAATTCAGACAATGAACTGGCAATTTAGTAACATCACCCGCCTTGAAATAAAATTCTGAGTGCAGTCTGAGACTAATGCTGCGTTCAAGTCCTCCTGGGACGTTCGTACTTACAAGATGACAAGTGGTAATTACGACGTCAGGTGCGTTCAAGTCAGTTTAGTCGGCACAAGATGGTGGTGTACCTTCTTTTAATAAATTACAAGAAAATACAACAGGGTCTGTTAACTCTGCTTATAGAAAATGAAGAGCAAAGAATTTGCATCCGGTGTGTTTTGCGTTTTTAATATTTTTAAAAAGTAATTTATGAAGCCACTTTAATCTGTATCGCATAAAAACTTCATCAAAACTATCAATTTAAACAAAAATTTACTGTCAACTACAGACATTGCATCCATCGATTCTGCCATGTTTCTCATTGACACGCCCCCAACTCGGAAACTCTGGGCTTAAAGAAAATTGAGCTTCCCACTCGTAATAACGACTTTGTGGTGGCGTTCATGTGCGTTCAACTCGTAAATACGATCTATCCGACATGACTTGAACTAGACCAAGTACAAATGCAGTTGATAGTGAGACCTTCAAAAAATGGTCCCGAGACCGGTCTTGAGTATAGCAATACTAAATGCATTCCAACACTGATTTGTAATATACTATAATGAGAGGACTTGCAAGTGTATAGAACTGCTCAGTCAGTGAGCTTGTGATTGAATGAAACTCTATTTTGAGCAGCATAGAGCGGATCATATATCATTTAAAAATTGTGTGGCCATTATGTTCACACCTTCAACAGACTTGCCTACAGTGCTCAATGCTGCAAACGCTCTTTAGAGTGCAAACACAAATATGCTCAAGAACAAAATCTGAAAATTTTAAAGGGAATAATTTTTGTTTTATTTTTTGTTAACAGTAAAAACACTGCATGATACTTGTGATTCTTATTAATCCTTTCTTACCTTAGAAAAGTCTCTGAGAGACTGATACCTTATTCTTTTGTGCACTCCAGATAGGTTGCAGTTCTGGGGAAAAAATTTTTTTCTTTTTGCAACCCTGTAAATTTCTTGTTCTTTTACTGATTACCTTCACCTTTGTTGTAGTTCTCAAATCAAATGTCAACTCCATAGGAATGCGGCTCTATTGTATTGCAATTCTCGTAAGGGTAATCACAAGCCCTGATTTCCCAGCGAAACAAGGTCAAACAGCAATACAGATTAAACAAAGCAAGTTTTTGTTGTTGTTATTTGTCCAGTAGAAACCTATCCTGATTTGATCCCAAGCACCCCATTATTCTTTAATTCATCATAACTGAATTAACATATCATTTATTTGATTTGTCCCACTAGGTCACTGTTTGACCCCTAAAAAGGTTGGACCCTGCCGAGGTTCTTTTCCTCGTTGGCATTACAACGCTGCATCCAGCAAGTGTGAGCAGTTCATCTTTGGAGGGTGTAAAGAGAATAACAACAACTATCTCTCTGAACAGGAGTGTTTGAATGCCTGTAAAAACACGACAGGTAATGATCATCTCATTGCACTGAGGCAGTGGTTTAAAGGAATACCCCATGTTGTCATTTATTTGTGTCATTCCGTGTCGGGATGCTTTTTCCGCAAAGGAACACAAAAGGAGAATTCTGAAGAACCTTCACTTGGCTCTTTACTACACAAGAATGTCAGTTGTCACACTATAAGAAAAGCATCCATGCAACTTTCCAAGTCTTCTGAAATTTTAATGTTGTTCTTTACTGACTATCTTCTTGCTACAGTTCCCAAATTAAATGTGGCGCCAGTGGTGCATGCCAGATGCCAATAAGAATAACCAGCATAACTTTTTGTGTGTGCGTTTACCATACAGCATGGTATAAAACGTGGCATATATCCTTTTAGGAGCTACTCTTAAGCTGCTGTATAAAGCAACATTTTCAAAACAAATTCAAAATTCTCCTTTGGTGTTCAACAGAAGAATAACAGCATGTAGGTTTAGTGCAAAATGAGGCTGAGTAAATGCTTAATTTTGGATGTGCTGCTCTATATGGCCATACATTTTATCATAGAATTTTTGTTTTTGCAAATTCCATTTTTACATTTTATACCACCCCACCCACCATATGTAACCCTACCCCAATCAGAACAAAAGGACATCTGAAAAGGGGGAATGGCTATACATTTTAGAGAATATTTTTGGTGAAGGTCCTTTTGTGTTTTGAAATGACAATGCTCCTGCGCAAAAAGTGGGGTCCATAAAGAAATAGTTTACCGACCTTGGTGATGAGCTTGACTATCCCCTAAAAATTCTAGAGTGCCTTTGGAATGAATTAGAGTAGTGACAACCTCAAAGCATGACCTTACTGATGCTCTTGTGTCTTGAACATTTAAACGCATTTAAATTTTCTCGTAATTTATTCACCCTCATGCTGTCCCAAAGCATATGACTCACTGGCATCTGTGGAACACAGAGATTTTTAGAGAAATAATCCATCTCTGTGACTTGCCACTTCAAAAACCACAAGCAAAAAGGTGATGAATCAATGTTAATGTCAGCATGTTGTGAAGTCTGCAGCGAGTGCATTGCGTCACTCTTCGCAACATGACATTTACGTCGTAAACTCGTGAACAGCTGGCCAGAAGCAATGGTTTGGGGTTTTAAAAAAGTTTCAAATATTAGTATTTTTCTCACACACCTATCGTTTTGCTTCAGAAGACATTGATTCATTAAATGGGGTTGTATGGATTATAGTTCTGTTTGTTTTACATGCTATTGGAAGCACTAACTTTGGAAGTTCCGTATACTTCCAATATGGACATACAGAGATGGATTATTTTTCTAGAAAATTTTGTTTGTGTTGGAAGGTATATACATCTGGAGCGGCATTAGTTTGAGTAAATGATAAGAGAGTGTTTTATTTTTGGGTGGGGCATCACTTTAATTTCAAAAGCATGGCAAAACCTCCCTTTGCCACTATAATAGCTTCCACTCGTTTGGTCCATCCTCAATATGCTGGCTCATAAATGCAGGATTTGCCTCCATTCAGACACGAGAGCATCAGTGAGGTCAGATACTGACGGTGGGTGAATGCTGTGGCTTTAAGATTTGTCCTCACAGAAATAATTGGAATAGCCAAACCTATTAATTAGATGGAGGTGCCCACATACTTTTGACCATGTTTATTCCTTTATTCTTTCAAGTTATTTCCTTAAATAAAATCTCAGTATCTCGTAGAGTTTTACTAAGTAATGTCTTCTCAAATATTGTCTGTCTGCAGTAATATCTGGAGATACGAGAAAGCTGCCCAAGGAAGGTATATTTACTTTAGATTTCTCCTCAGCCAAATATACGGTGTAAAATTTCCTCAGGATTTGTTGGTTGTTTAAATGAGTGTTTTTGTTTGTGATACAGACTGTACTTCGTCTTGTGGAGAAGACCAATTTAAATGCTCTAACGGCTGCTGTGTGAAGAAAGAGCTTGAGTGTGATGAACAGCAGCAATGCAGCGATGGTTCTGATGAGGAGAACTGTGAACAATGTGAGACACTTATCATGCTCACACACCTCATGACATGTACTCAATGGTTCTAAACGTACTTCCTTTACTTTTTAGTGAATAATGGCCTGACTCGACTTCTAGGGATTGAGGTGAATAAAAAAGGTGAGTTTCGTGCTTTGCTGAAGAATTGTATTGCGCACCAGCAGCCTGACATTTAAGAAATAATTCACCCAGTAATTAAAACTGCCATAATTTACTTGCTGTCATGTTATTTTAAACCGTTATGGTTTTCTTTCTTTCATGGAACACAGAAGAAATTTTGTAGAATCTCCTATTCTTGTTTATATAACAAGTGAATGGGGCTGTCAAACTGCAATAAAGACAAAAAAAGTTTTTTTTAAAGCCATTTGATTGCTTTGTCTGATGAACGGACCAAATTATCCTTTTCACGTTGTTTATTTTAAAAAATAATGGAAAATCTTTGATTTCAAGATTGGTCAGCGCTATTGGATCTCATTACATAACTGATCGTGACACAGCATTTTGTATATGAGGAAGCGCTAATGGGATATGAGAGATACGGCAGATTGGACTTTTTGGATGGACTTTAATATTTACTAGTGCCTATTATTATCGCCCCGTATTACTATTGCTCCTAGATAAACATGTCTTTATTTATGAACAATTAGTGTTCTGTTTTTTTTTTTTTATATATGATCCCACCAACAGTTTGTGCATAAACACAATTTGTTCATCCACTTTAATTCTCTTCTAACGTCTCATTTGTGTTATAATGGTATAGCACACTGCACAGATCCAGCTGTTGTGGGCCCATGAAAAAAATTATGGAAAATCTTTGATTTCAAGATTGGTCAGCGCTATTGGATCTCATTACATAACTGATCGTGACACAGCATTTTGTATATGAGGAAGCGCTAATGGGATATGAGAGATACGGCAGATTGGACTTTTTGGATGGACTTTAATATTTATTAGTGCCTATTATTATAATAGTATTACTATTGCTCCTAGATAAACATGTCTTTATTTATGAACAATTAGTGTTCTGTTTTTTTTTTTTTATATATGATCCCACCAACAGTTTGTGCATAAACACAATTTGTTCATCCACTTTAATTCTCTTCTAACGTCTCATTTGTGTTATAATGGTATAGCACACTGCACAGATCCAGCTGTTGTGGGCCCATGTCGAGCCAGTTTTCCTCGCTGGTACTATGACCCTCTTAACGAAAAGTGCCATCGCTTCACCTATGGTGGCTGTGATGGCAATGAGAACAACTTTGAGACATCAGACAAGTGCATGGACAACTGCTCCGGTGTCACCGGTATGAATGGTGCTCAGGTTTCAACAAGATATATTAGTGATGATGGCTGAAGTTTATATTTGATGTATATTTCTGTCTGTCTTTATAGAAAATGATGTGTTTGCCAGAGGATTGTATGTAATTGAGGCTCTAGGAGAAAGCCAGTCAGGTAATCTTTGGATTTGCAATCAAATACATCTTATTTATCATTAATCTAAGGAGAAAGGAAGGATCCTAATGGTATTTTTAACAGCTTTTTGATCATGGCAGACTTTTAAAAAAATCCTTACCCTTACTAGTTAACATGTTTTATTGTAGCTTATTTTATTTGCTGGTTTGATTTGTTTTGCAGAACAGCTATCATTTTTAAATAATTCTAATAACTTTCAGAACTTTAGAGTAAATTTCTATATTTGAGTATATTGGAGTAAACATCTAATTTTTTTTTTAATGATCCAGAATACTGTTAAAAAATCAATAGGATCCTTCAGAAGTCTAGATGAAGGTGCAGCACAACATTTAGAGATTTCTCTCACATCTCAAAAAAAGAAAAAAATTGGAAATAATAGTCTGGTCCCTAAAGTGAATAGGACAGATCTGTGCTCTCAATTAAAGAAATGCATGTTGTGGGTTGCCTTTTTCCCCCCCCTCTCAGCTTCTGTTGCCCTAGCTGTGGTTTTGGTTGTCGCCATCTTGGCCGTTCTGGCTGTGTTGGGTTACTTTTTCCTCAAGAACAAGAGAAAAAGCCATCAGCCTGTGGCCACCAGCAGTCCTCCAGTGGTGTACAGTGATGATGACCAACAGCTGGTCTACAACAGCACCACCGCCAAAGCATGACCATCTTTAAAAACTCCATAAACTTTAACATCTTTTCTGCCATATGGTCTGCCCCTCAGACTCAGTTAAGGGTTCCTGACCTTTACGTAATGCCATTTTAAATGTGTGGTCACTGAACCAGGTCTTTTATCTCAGGTCTTAATGATCAAGGTGTTTAATGTGGATTTTTAGAATTAGTGTATTATATTACATTGATAAAGACCCGTGTTTGTGGCCCTGGAGAGTTTTTAGGTAGAAATCACTCCTTATAGATGGTCTTCTACCATCTGACAAGCACTTGACAAAAAACATTGTAACTTTCTTTTTGTTTCCCATAAAGCCATAAAATGTATCATTCTGATTATTTCTGAGGGGGATTGAAATGTCTTGATTTGCCTCTAGAGGCTATATTAATATTTCTGTTACATTTAAAAGTACATGTTTTAATGGTGTGACAATTCATTGTTTATATATGTGGAATGTAAGATTGTTTGTATTTTTAGCCCTATAAATCCACGAGTTCTTATTGCACTAAATTTTAAATGTTTGCCAGCTTTTTGCTGTTTATTAATATGAGTGCTCTGAGTGATATTCCAGTTGTTGAGTCCTGGGATGGAACAGGCTTAAACACTGGGGAGAAAAAACAAAACATAACAAACCTACATTTGATGCTTTTGTGTTTCTCAATATGGGTCAAGAGTGTCAAATAATGACTAAAAGATGTCAAATGTTTTTTGTGGGTGGATGTGTTTCTTTAAGATATGCATCGGATTATTTCTGGTTTTCTTTTAAGTATTTTAAACCGTGTAAGTGCCATTTGGTGAATAAGGACATGGATTCAGGAGCTTTGATTTTGAATAAAAGTTTAAAATTTAATTTTGCATTTATGTTATGAACACTAGTGACAATCTCATGTGGAAATATTATTTATAAGATGTGCCATATTTTAAGAACCGGTGGTATGTTCTGTATTAAATTAGCCAACATTTAGCTTCTTTTACTGTAAGTTATGAATGAGTTCTCATTATGCTAACCTGAATATAAACATGCTGATAGATCTCGATATGTTTGGTAGACAGCACAGTAGCGACACTCATTGACAGGAATAAGTCACAGGTTTTGTGGAGGTAACTGTTAAACATAACAAAAATGCAGAGTTTGAACATGGATAGAACATAAGCTCTTAGCACAAGTACAAAAAGGCTCAATTCTATTTAGGGAACATTCAATATAAGCGGGTAGAATTAACAAAAAAAGGTGAATAAGTCATAAGTGGAAGTTGTTGTAATCGGTGGGCTGCGAAGGGAACCTGATTCTCTGATTGCAACTCTTCACTGTATGATTAACATTTCTTAGTGTCATTATCCACGTTGATCGTCTATACAGCTGCTAAAACAGCGTGTTGACGGCGTCGTCAAATGAAACATTTTTCATGAATTGGAATGAATGCGTGCAAAGCATTGTGTGTGACTGAGGGACGCGAAGGATACACCTGATGCATGCTTCAAAACAGGCCCAATGAAGGTATGCAAAACGAAGATCTTTCACATTGAGATGTCCTTCGACGGGGCTAGATACTGTATGCAGCCTGAAATGTCAAGCACCCCCTTGAGGAAAATATTCCTCCGTCTCATCATGCATATTTCCCTGATTATTGACCTTCTCTCTGGTCCACTAGAGGGGAATATCTCTTTGTAAAATGTTTATATAAAATAATTCATGAAAGTTACAGCCTATCACATTAATGCATGCTAAGTATAATTGCTGAAGACAATTGTTTTGTCACAATTATTCACTACATACTTGTCGTTATATATATATAATATTATATATACATTTTTTTCAAATGTCAAAATTCATTTTTTTCAAAATTACTTTGAATATATATATATATATATATGATACTTTAAATCTTGTTGTTTTAAGCCTGATTTCATTCTTCCCCTTGAATTACTTGATCAACTGACAATATAATGATTTTAGACAAAAGCCACAAACATCCACCCAATGTTTTCATGGAATCTTCTGTCACTTCCAAGCCAGTCTTGACTTGTTCAGTTTTGTCTGAAATGCCTTGGTGAAAACCCAGTCATTATAATATTCCTTTATTGTATCAGCCATGTTGCATAACAAAACAATCTGAACTGAAGGAAAAGGTTTGGCTCTCAACATAAAAGTCAAGGGTAACACCTACACTGCATAATTGAAGGTAGAAAAAATATGTATTTGTTATAGAAATTAAAGGCCATGTGATAGTTGACATTCTTTTTTCTCCCTTTTGCTTGATTTTTTCTTTTTGTTAGCTGAAGAGCTTTGACTTCACATTAAACAGGGTTTCTTTCTCAGTGTGGGATGTTAATGTTGTTGCTTGTGAGGATTCAGGATTAGTAAGGATTGTGTACTTGTAAGCAGCTGCAAGGACGTGTCACCTTTTTACCACGACAGTCTTTCTGTTTAGCTGGTTTTGGTTAAAGACAGTAATAGCGTGGTAACAGAATTAACACACCTGTTCTGGAAGGTTGCGTAGGTTGACAATCATGTTTGTGGCATGTCTTGGCGTGTTTTGTCGCAATTTTCTTGATCTTAATCTTGATAATGACATATCTGAAGACTTGTAGCAATGGTATGTGACTATATTTATAACGAGACGAATAATGTTGTGTAAGTAAACTGTGATGATGGTTAAGTTGACTCAGTATGAGACGTACTTAAGGAGTAAATACTTATGTGGAAATGTTCATTCTCAAAAAAAGGATAAACTTTTACCTGTGCATGCATTTATGTCTGCATTTGTCAAAAAACTAGGACATTCATCAGACATGGTTTCATTTGTGCCTGAAAATTTCAGTTATATGGTGTTTAAAGTTAGAAACTTCACAACCTAACAGTGAAAGCACAATGTTCCACCATTCATTCATTAATAATAGGAATATGCAAATTGAAATCATGATACAATTATGGTAAAATATTTTAAAAGAAAATTAGACAAAAAAAACAATAAAAAGGTAACAGTAGGCTATGTATAAAATATAAAGCACAGTTCAAATACAGTGAAGTAATTATGTTCTATGCACTGGAAAAAGAATTTCATGAGCACACACACATCCTTAAGCAGACTTTCAAAGGTCTTCAAAAATAAACGTTATGTAAATGTTTAATTTTTTGTGACCTTAAAATGAAGGAAGTTAACTTAAAAAAAAATTCTAAATTAAATATATCCGATGAGTGAATTTTTAAAAGTAACGTTTACTTTATAGTAATGTTTGTGCATTCTGTCAAAAATATATTGAATCTCAGAAGTGGTAAATTACAAAGAATGTAATACCAGCTTTTGAAAATGTTTTTATGCAAAACTAATAACTGAATTTTTGTGCAATAATATTTTAATTATGGGTAAGTTTTATTAACACAAATTAAGATTTGGGTTGCTCTAAATTTCGTGGCATTTAAAAATTATTAAAACATTTTTTTATTATTCAATCCTTACAGCAAAAGATGAAAAAGAAAAGTGCCTTTATACTCTCCAGATTACTTAAAATATTATTGAACCATCTTCCCTTAAGTTTAATATAATTCGTTTTAACAAGCTTTATATATATGTATTTTTTATTTATTTATTTTTTTTCATTTTCAGTGTATGCTGCTTGGATTTATTGTATCAGTGTTGTTTAACAACAATAATGCTTGTTTGTTATTTGAAGAGCTTTAATAAATAAAAAAAAATCCTTCACCAGTTTGCGCATGCGCACTCGTTCACTTTCGAAAAAAGCGGAGGGTTACGGGTGGAGAACATGATCAGACTGTCATCATTACAGCCACAAGCAACAAACGGAGGAGTTCGGGCTGAACTCTCTTTTTATTGTCCTCTTTTACTTCGACAGGATTTTTTTGTTTCACAGGGACCTTGTTAACATAAATGCAGCTTTATCACGGATTGTTCGCTTGACGTCTTTCGAAGTTTTTAAACTTTTCTTGTATTGGTAAGTGTTGCACGAGCTACATCCTGCGTTCCTAAACTTTATTTTAGATGTTATAGGACGTTCATTTGGTAAAGTTACACAACTGAAGTTATCTGCCTTCACTGATATTTCTCGGGAGGAATCTAAAGAATTTGGACATAGTATTCACAAGCAAACTACAAAAGTTGAAAGTGTGTGTTAAATTGCCATATGTTTGCCACCCGTAACCGACAGTCGCTTGCAGTGTGGATGACAGCTCTGAGAATTATTACATGCATCTGTTAATACGCGATATATTTTATTCTTTTAACTCATTTAAGTCACTTCTCAATTTAAACTTTTGATGGGATTATTGAAAATAAAAATTCAAAATGTCTGACTGTCTACATAAAGAACTATAAGCAGCTCTGTCAAACATGCACAAGAAGATCTACAATCAGTGGAGACCAAAAGTCTGATACCATATTAAACAGTTTAAACAAAGAAAAGTTGTGATACATAATTAGGTATATCTTATATTTCAGATTCTGCACTAGTCTTCGATTATTCATCCAAAGGACATAGTAGTTTAAGGAGAATGTTGTTTAGCAGAAAGACTTCAGAGGTAGAAAGACCTCTGATCCGAGGAATGAAGAGTGGTCACTGTCTATCAGTCTATCACACATGATAACAGTTGCTTCACAAGTCTCTACAAGGAAGAAGAAAAATTGTAATGCAGTGCTCTGCAGAAAAACCTTCAGTTGTATAACACATTTCAGCCAGAGAATTGTGAAAGCGGCAGGATTTATGACTCAATATCTGACTAATGTTCTCAGTTATTATAACATCTTTACAAAAATAAAGTTCCTGCCAGTTTGCTTATCATGTCGCTACAGGCTTTGTGAATTTCATCACGATTGTGTGTGGAAGATGCAAAAAATGTCTTCAACTACCGTTCAAGCTCTCTTCCCCAACTTCACTGCCAGGGACACATTTACTGGCTGTATCTAAAATTTAGTTAACAGCCTGCCTAGTCAGCATTAGTCACGCTGGTTTTTTTGTTGTTTTTTTTGAAGTTGTCAAGAAAACAAAAATAACTGGAATTGTAGTCTTTCTACTTAAAAATTGTATCAAATTTGATCCAATGTGTTAGTTGCTGTGTCTTTGTAATTATTTGTGGAATTTCAGACATTTAACTTGTGCAGGAAATCTGCTCCTCATTGTAGTTTATTATGGTGAAGAACCACCCACTTGACAGTAAAGGAGCATCTGACCTACATACAATACACAGAGACCCGACCAGTGATTAGTTCTTCCTCAAAACACTCAGCTTGATTCATTGTAGCCAGCATGTGCAATAAGTGCTCAACTTCAGTTAAAGGCACAATATGTAATTTTTCGTCGCTAGAGGGCGCGTATTTAAAACAAACAAAGAAACAAAGGCATAGTTTGATGACGGCGTGACTGAGTGTGGAATCATGGGAGTTGTCGTCTTCATCCCCACAGCCGATGCAATCTGACTTGGGCAGAAGTCATGTTCATGGATGAGCTAATGTATTAAAGATTTATTAATGTAGTAGAATGAAGCAGGGTGAGGCTGAAAGCCGTCTAAACGAAACGAGGCCGCTGAACGAGCGTGACACACGGCTCGAAAGCAGCGGAGCTTTTATTATGCCACAGTCGACCGCTTCCGCTCCTTCCGGAAAGCAGCGGAAGTGCTGTTTTATCATACTAGATACATTTGAAAGTTCTGTTATAATGCTACTCTGTGCGGTCGTCACCTGTCGAATAAAATGCATAGCATATTAAAGCATCATTTGGTGTTTCCATGGTTTCGAAGGGAAATCAAAGGGTTATGATATACAGTCCGTGTCACTAGTTAAAATTGCTTATTTCTCTGGATTTAAACATTCTTCGAAAACATTTGGGATAATGTAAGTACACAAGTCAGCAAAATATATAAAACTATTCTAGTTGTTTTTGGATATTTTAATTTAAAAATCTTACATATTGTGCCTTTAAGCTGTGAGCTGAGTTGACTCTTGAGTATGTCTAAAGCTTCTTTTACATAGATATTTTGGAAAAATGTCTGGAAAAAATTGTGTTGTTCTGTTTAAAATTGGTTTTGGCATTGCAAAATTGTGTTTATCTACATGACCGGAGCTTTTCCTTAATCTGTGCTCTTATACTTGAAGCCCTGCACTTTTATCACTACAACACACACCCTGCATTAGCTCTGTTCACACATTTTGGCACTCTGGCTTTGCATTCACGGAGAAGCAGTTTTCAGGAATTTCAGGAACTCCAGTGGTGATGCTAATGCTCCCAAATGCTGTCTAGGTAGCCATCTCATTAAGTTTGAGATATAGCCACTGATTCTTGGCACTAACAGGTTGGGGAAGTCTTTGGTAATGGGTCCCATGTGAGAGTGTTAAACCTGTGATAGAATTGTGGACACACCCGGTTCCTTTTCCAGTCCTGCCTGGGGCCGGCTAGGGTGCCAGACAGCTTCTTTCATTTCCTGATCCTAGACAGATAAGGAAGGACTGCTCTGTTTAAAAAATGCACTTGTCGCCAGTTTGTAGTAAATAAAGTTTCCACCTCAGTGTTTCCCACAGATTTACACTCTGTGTGGCGGCACTTCCCCTGGGAGAAATATATATGCATATAATGTAAATATAAAATTCATTCTCTGCCAGCAGGAGGCGCTTTAGGAGCAGCAGAAATAGTGGTTTACCCGGTAACAGCTGAACACAAAACAGCGCTGAGCTCATAAATGCCGCTTTATCAGGCATTATAGGAAAGATTAAATGAAAATGACATCAAAACTTTTCTGAAGACAATTGGTTCCCTTCAAAAAAGATTTATTTGAAAGATTTATATAAAAACACCCTTTTGATTTTGAAACGTGCAGTGCTCATGCTTAGTCAAAGCCTTTTGGAAAATCTATTTGTGGCGGTCAGTGTTGATATTGTGGCGGGCCGCCACAAATAAATCAATGTATTGGAAACCCTGCACCTCCTAGAAGACTTCCAATCCAATATGGAAGATAACTAATAGCTAGAAATAGGCGAGTAGTCCAAAAGATGCAGCAGTAGGTTCTTGTTAGTACCACAGTTTATCTTTTTTATTACCAGGGCAATTTGATGTCACTAAACAAACTCTGTTCTTTGACTAATATTTGCCTTAGCCTGATATTGGAGGCTTGTTATTTGACTGTTAAATCTGCTGCTCTTTGAAAAACACTATCAGTCAAAGGTTTAGACATTCGTTCGTTATTATCACTAGTTATCTCCATTTTACAATAAGAGTATGCTGTGCAATGCCATAAATGGATGTATGGTATTTATGTAGTGAGCAAAACTGTAATTTTTATTAATTTACTCAAGGAGTTCTCATGTATGCTGGGCACTTTTTGGGCAACTAAGTTTATAAGTAGACTCTGGCACACTGTTTACACTAATTATAGCTAATTTCAATTCATTTCAATCAAAAATTTATTTGACTGGTGGTGGTGTACTTGTATTGGCTGTGTCAGGTTTTCTGAGCTATGAGACCAATGAAACACAATCGGTGGAAGTACAAACAGGATGATGTTTGGTCTTTCTTAACGCTTCCATTCCTGTGGATTCTTTGTTAAAAATGACTCCACCTGAACCATAGCAAGTTGTTTGGACAGCGTGGAACAGATCTTCCTCAGTTCAGGAATTTCACAGTACTTTAGCATCTTGTGCATTCTTTCTTCTTTTAAACTAAAGAAAATGATCAGTTTCAAATGAATTTCAGGTTGACAATATTTAGTTTTAGGGTGGAGGCTAAACTAGAGAAGAGAGTGTATTATTGATTTAGCTTTTTAGGTGATTTCTTTTTTTCTTTTTTAGATCTACTACAGAGCAGACTTACATGGTGACCTTTTCACAGATGGACAAGCCGTTATTAAAACAGGTTGTGTGCCTGTTGCAAGCTATATTCATCCAGTCAATGTTATTGACCTTATAAGTGCACAGAAGAACATACTGTAAACCCAGGGTTTACAGATGTACAGTGTAAAATCTTAAAAATTTAATAGCCTTTATTATTATTATTTTTATTATTTGTATTTGCATTTAATGAATAAAAAAGATGTGTTAGATGAGGGAGACATACAAAATGACTAGTAGCCTCCAGGAGAGGTTTGGGAGGGACTAGTAGCGCATCAGATTTCTTGGAAGCAGTCATCATGCCCGTGTGTAAACATGCAGAGAGATGTCTATCTGTGCATATTTTTAGTTTTCTGTGTCTATTTCCTATAATTGCTTCCTCTGGTAGTTACCGACCTTCAGTGACTGGACAGTACTTCTTGGAAGCTTTTCAAACTGTGATATGTTGTTTGTGTCTACATTATGTGACACAGTAGGGAATGGTATGTGTGTACATCATATAGCCTAGAAAGTGGGGTAATATCATACTTTTTATTTTCAATACATTTTCCCTGAGACCTCACATTTTGTCACATGGAGTCAGTTTAGTTTTTCTTGACTATTTCCACCCTCTCTCTTATGTAGTATTAGACCTTTTTTTGCTGCCCCTTTAAGAGTTGTATGTAAAATGTATCTTTGCATATGGAGGTAGGTACAGTGCTTACAAGCTTAAAGGAGTAGTTCACTTTCAGAATGAAAATTCTGTCATCATTTACTCACCCCCCCACTTGTTCCAAACTGTATGAGTTTCTTTCTTCTGTTGAACACAAAAGAAGATATTTAAAAAAAATGTTGGGATCTGAACAGTTGATGAGCACCATTGACGTCCATAGTATTTTTTTTCCTACTATGGAAGTCAATGGTGCTCATCAACTGTTCGGATCCCAACATTTTTCAAAATATTCCTTCCACCTTGTAATGTAGCACATCTGTACTTGTAGTCCGTGTTTGTGTATATCTTCTTGTCAGTGTGCGTAGGTTAATGTGGAGCTACGTAGATGCTCCCAGAATAGGCCCTCTTGTATCTGTGCTTTGCCTTGTCATGTGATCTGGCACTGGGCTGTGAGGGGCTGTTTGTTCATT